GTTCAAATGTACGAAGTTTGGAAGACGACATTGATCAGGGCAGGGAAAAAAACTTGTAGCAATTTTACTTGCATTATGTATATATATTTGGGGGGGGGGGTTGTTCTTTCAACATTAAGAATTTGAACAAAAGATAAAGAAACAGAGACAAACCAGTTTTCCAAATGTTGAACTTTTGTACTTTGTAACATTTGAACGTCTGGCTGGAGATTTGTCTTGATCACGCTTCTCATCCACCACCTGCTCCTCATGGCTTTCTTTTGACCTTATGCAGTTGCGAGCATGGTAAAATCTCTACTGAAACTAATGGCTTTCTGACAGACACTGGACACAGACGTTGGCTTGTTCTTGTCACAACTTGAGTAGACGGGCAGTCGTTATGGTCAAATGTAGTGGGGGGGGAGGGGGATTTTTTGTTTTTTCAAGTGTAAGGCCTTTTTAGGTTATCGTATTGTCCATTTTTTCTGGCTGACGTCAACTCGGTTGTCTTGCCCAACTTTCTGTTTGGTTGGATGGTAGAGAACGGATAAATGAATATTTTGTTGACTCAGAATGATGGCTTATTTGACGGAGAAGTGACGGGCTGGTATTGGCTAGAGTTGCGGGCCTTGTTTTGCTTGCTTTCTCTTGGGATTTCTGGACAAGAAAATGGAGAATGTTCTCCAGGGCAGTATTTCTGGGCCTTGTTTGGCCAACTCTCTCAGCGTATTTCTCGACAAGAACATAGGATTTTGGTGTGCTTATTTACTTGGATGATTTATTTTTTTTGACGAGAAAATATTTTATTTCGCTTTGTTTCTCCGTCTCAGTTGTTTGTTTTTTAGATAAAAAAAAACCGAGAGAATGTTCTGTAGCGTTGCTGGATTTTGTTTTTGCTTGTGCTATGCCCCCCCATCACCCCTCCATCATCATGCTTTCTGAGACCACTCCTGTGGGTGCGGACGGAGGCGGGTGTAAAGCCTGGCCAAATTGTACAGTATGGTGTATCATTACAGTCGCTGGACGCGCAGAGAAGAAGCCGATTTCTACCGCACGGTGTCTACGTTTGGCGTGGAGTTCAGCCGCGCGGCCGGGCGCTTCCGCTGGGACCGGTTCCGAGAGCAGGCTCGGCTAGACAGGAAGCACGACGACTCGCTGACCGAGTACTTCCACGCCTTCTACTTCATGTGTCAGCGCGTCTGTGGCAAGCTCAAGGCCAATGACTGTGAGTACATGTCGGGGGT